TTGTGAGGCGTGAGTAGTCCAGTGGTCAGTGCGCTGGACTCTAGGTCAGATGGCCCGGGTTCAAGTCCTGGCTGGGGCTTGACGTTGTGTCCTTAAGCAAGACGCTTCACTCACATTGCTTCGTCTTCTCGGATAGGACGTAAAGCCGGAGGTCCCGTCTCCTGCACCTATCAATTAGTTAATTTCGGCAAGGGACGTTAAAGAACCCACATCACGAGATTACTGTGATGTGGTCTGGCCTGTTTACTGGGAAGGGGGGGAGGGGGCATCTGTAAAAATTTCTCCTTTATTAATTGTAAACTGCCGCCGGCAGTCTGGAAAAGTCCCCCGCACAGTGTTGTAAAGCGCATTAGAGCATTTACATGGAAATGCGCTATAGAAATTGATCTATATTATCTATATATATATATTATTATTTCCAATGGTAGTATGAGGCCGGATCTCCACGACCTTGCCTTGTCCATCTTTAGATTAGCTCTCCGCAACACTATGGATTTGCAAGTAGTCTGGGCCCCTAGAGCAAGCGGATGCCATTAGCAGGTTCATTGACCGCGATGATTGGGGGGTTTCCCTTCACTTTTTGAGCCACGTGAAGGGTATTTGGGACCCTCTCTCTGTGGATCGATTTGCTAATTCCCACAATTTTAAGCTTACTAGGTTAAATTCACGCTATTGGAACCCTGGTTTTGAAGGTGTCGACGCTTTTTGCTTCGACTGGGTTGGGGAGAATGATTGGCTAGTACCCCCAGTGTTCCTTATTCCTCGGGTTATCAGGCATCTTGCACATTGCAAAGCTGCGCGTACTCTTATCGTACCACAATGGATTTCGTCCCCGTTTTCGCCCATGCTCTTCGGGATAAAGTCTCCCTACCATTCCCTTGTCAAGGGCATCATTACTTTCACTGACGTTACAGGGATTTTTATTAGGGGCTCCTTTGAATCCATTTTTGATGGGCCTAACTGTCATGAAAGCGGTAAAGAATTAATTTAAGGATATGTAAATAATTATTTTATTCTCTTAGGATCAACGTAGTGCGTGATAGTTGTGTCTGTTACTTAACTTGTATTCTTCACTTGTGTAAGCTGTTGTGTAATTAACCTTTATCGTATATATCAAATAGTTGTCTTCATTCTTTTCTGGCACTTTGCGTCCACATGTATTTGAGGATTCGGGTGGTTACGGTGTGGTGTGTGTGCGTGTGTGTGTGTTTTTTTGAGAGAGAAGGTCACCGGCGGCGAAGGTTGGAAAAGTTACAGAGACTCGTTCGGATCGGGGCACGTTTCAATCACTGAGAGTCATTCAGAAAAAAATTCGTCCTTTCATACGACAAAGAGTTCATTTGCCGGGGGAGTACGTATGCCGAGAAGCTGG